TCATTCTACCGTTTGATTGCAAATATGGAATGTGTAAAAATGGAATCTCATTCTCATTCTTATGTTTAGTAAGAAAGTTGGAATATAATGAATTTATATTGTTTCTTTAAATTACATTATTAGTAAAAAAAATTAACTAAAAAAATTAATCTGCAAAAATAAAAGGGAAAGAGATAATAGAGAGAGAAAATAGACGAGATAGAGAGAAACATAGGGCTCTCCGATGACTGCAAAAATAAAAGGGAAAGAGATAATTGAGAGAGAGAGAAAAAATAGATGAGATAGAGAGAGAAAATAGACGAGATAAAAGAAACAGAAGGCTCTCCGACGACTGTAAAAATAAAAGGGAAAAAGATAATTTTCCGATCATCTTTTCCGGCGAGAAAAAAGAAACAAAAGGACTAGATAATGACTGAGAAAGTTGCATAACAAAGCACAAAAGCTCATAGAAGTTCAATTACACTATTTTTGTCTCATCCTTGTGTGTGTAAATCGGAGAGAGGGAACAAACGGCATATAGAAACATATTATATATATATTATATAGTGTGTGTATGCGTGAATTATCTCTTTAAATTACTTTATTACTTTATTAATTCTTGGTGGGAATGGAATAGACATTTCACCTCTCAAGAAGGAATGCCCATTCCACTATTAATGTGACACACCAAACAAGAGAATAGAAACAAATGCATTTGATTCCACCTTCATTTGATTCCATTCACTCACACCAAAAATAGCCTCAATGTAAATTTTTCAACCTTATATACAAGCTTACCTTTAACGAAAAAAGGGGGATCCAAGGAGAGACTCGTGTATTTCTGTATACCATAACTCTCTGATACCATTTTCTTCACCATTTGATCTAATTCTGACACTAGCTTTGAGAAGGAAAGTGCAGTTTCACTGACCAATAAACAACAAAAATAACAATACAGTGAAACAAAAAGGTACTCTAATGAAATACTATGAAGAGAAATATTAAGCAGTGACTATTTTAGGTTCGAATTACCACATAAAATACATAGTTATGGAACAATGAACTTTCACTATATAGTTTTCTTTTTCTTTTTTCTTCTAATATTTCAAAGACCAAAATTCCCTTTACTGTAAATTTTTTGTGCTAAAGAAAAAAAACACACGCACGCACAGAACCCCAAACACAAATTATACCAGAAAAAATCGTTTCCGGAGGGCCACATGAGATTTGTGAATTTCTGAGCTCCTTCTAGAGTTGTTGCATTTTCGATGCCCAAGCTTTCATAAAGAGGAATTGCAGGCAGATGTCCAAGATAGCCATGATTAGGTGTATCATAAGTGTTTTGTATTTTGGTTTCTAGGGGGAGATCAAATAAGGGTTTTAATGCTTAAAAAATTGAATGGTGAAGCTCCAAAGAAACTCTATCGTACACTGCTATGAAACAACCATACTCTTCAAGAGCTCGCACGGTTTCATTTCGTGTTGATATCCAAGAATCTGTACCAGGCTTCAAGTTTTCCTTAGAGAAGTGTATAACAGGAAGCTTAGGGTGTGGAAGGGAACCCATAGCTCTAGGGTTTAAATTAATTAATTAGAAGGGACAATATTGTGATCGGAGTGCATTATTATTATTAGTGCTCATCCACGATTCTTATAGAATTCTACTGGTGATGTTTCTTATATGAGCTGCATCACCTCCTCGACACCTGACCGAGGCTGCCGGCCGTCGTGTGTTTTAGAGTTTTCCGTTCTTATATATATATATATATGTATTAAATTAAACAATTTCAATTCTTGTAAGGATTTAACTAGGAAAACTTATGATGAGGACACTCTTATCGGGACTTCAACTTCTTAATTGTTGGAGCTGACACTGACATCTTCATTGATTCACGTATAGATATCATCGATCACATTAATCCAATCAATGAGGATATGAACTGTTGGGCCATTAGCTTAACCGGGTATAAACCTCTTCTCCTTTTAAAGACAAGAGGAAGCATTTCCAGCTTCAATATACATCTACTTTATTTATTTTTATAATAATATCCTCCAACAAATAATAATAATGATAAACAAGAATATGGGCTCTAGATTCCGAGGGCAGTCTCGTCATAAACTTTCAAAGTGTGTGCTTGTGGTCGCGTGTGTTTTATGGCAAGGAAATAGATGATAGATTGATGTATTTATGGTCCTTGACAATATTACATATTTTTAAGGGTTTGGAAGCTTGTTAATGGTGGTGTTGACCTGTTTCTACTAAGTTCTTAATATTCTAAAATAATTGTGGTTGTTAAGAGTATTTACTATTTCATGAGAACCAAATTTCTAGATTTTATTTGGATAAACATGAGAGAAAGAAAAGAAATGATATTATTAATTATAAGAGAAAAGAAAAAATAGTAATAATATTTATTCCTATTTGGATAAATTATGAGATAAAAGAAAGAAAATGACAAAAAAGAAGGGAAATGACATTATTCTTGTTTGGAAAAGATAAGGAAGAGAAAAGAAATAAAAATAAATGATAAAAATTAAATTACTATCATAACTTTTTAAAAATGTTATAAGATTAGAGCCAAATGTTATAAGTGGGTAATTTTTAAGATGTTCAAATCTGGTTAACTTGAACTGGTTTAACTTTTAAAGGCTTTCCAAGATGTTCAAGTCTGGCCAACCTGAACCGGTTCAGCCCCACCTGAACCGGTTCAAGTTTCAACGTCATTTTCTCAAAATTCTTTCCGGCCAACTTGAACCAGTTCAACCCCACTCGAACAAGTTCAAATCCTTCACACCTTTTTGGTAACTTTGTTTCCTCGTTTGTTTTTATTCCTATTTTGGGTAACTTCTTCTATATTGGTGATGCATGAAATTGACTTATTTCCCAAGTTCAAATAGGTTTTTAAAAGTCTATAAACATATTTTCTCACTTAGGGTTTTACGGCTTTTTGAATACAAAATTCTGATTTAATTGAGAGCCATATTTGTGAGAATTTTTAGTATTTTTCATTGAGAGCATTTACACTATACACACGAGCGATTTATAGTGTTATTCTTATTCTGATCGGAGTACGAGTTTAAAGATATCATCAATATCGATCAGAGAAAGTAGAATTCATTCATTCTACAACAAATTTAGATTCGAAGATGTTTAGATCACACTTTGAAGAGGTCAAGGCATTTGTGAAGTGTTGTTGATCAACTGGCAATTCTTCTACAAGGTTCGAGGAGTAAGTCTGAAGTCGAGAGCTGTTGGATGGGGGAATCACAAAGTTAGGGGCATTTAGTGAGTTGGGTCTTGGTAGAGTGAATGGGCGTGAGTCTGAGTCAAAGTTCGGTGTATTTTACTTCAAATATAATGGATCATTTACACTCGGGACATCTCAAAAATCCTCGAGATTTTTCAATTGGTTTCCTCACTAAAATCCGGTGTCACTCTAACTTACTTGCATTTATTTTTATTTTGTGGTTTGATTAATTTGCTTTTATTTCGGAAAATTTAATTTAAGCAAAAATAGGATAAAAGACCAAGTTGAACCTATTCACCCCCTTTAGGTTGCTTATCCATATTATATTCCACAATCATTCTGCATTGTGCAACTCACAAGAGTATGTAATTCTTGGGAATGTAGTCCAAATGAAAGAATTCGTGGGTTTTTGCCATCTATGGTTGTCTATTCCTTAATATATAATAGAGAACTAATTTAAGTGAATCATGTAAAATATTGTGTTACATGGATGTGTATGATTGTTATTTTCATATATGTGTGATTGATAAGAGCACTGCTATTTCACTCGACTTAAAAAACCCTATTTAGTACGGACTCCTCCATAAAATCTAAGTGTCATGTTGTAATTAGTGGAGCCCTTAATAGAAACAAACACACCTCTCTCTTCTTCGCCCATGCCCCCAAGTATTCTTATTCCCTTTCTCTCTCTCTCTCTCTCTCTCTATATATATATATATATATATATATATGTATTCTCTCTCTAAACTCTCTCTATTTTCATATTTTTTTCAAATGAGTTATGGAGACCCGGTTAACCCATGAACCCCGGTTCTTCAATTCTCAATTATTATTATAGATATCCAAAAAAAAAACCATATGACAAAAACGAGAAACGAAATAGATCTGCAAACCCAAATCTTTTTTTTCTTCCTCTTTTTCTTTCTTGGGGTGAAATCTATAGTTGAAGTTGAAAATAATAGCAAAAGACAAAAATTTCATTCCTTGCAACAAATTCATTTAATGGAAAAGATATTTTATAAAGAGAAGGAATTTTAAGCAAAAATATGTACATACAAGTAACTTGTACACTGAGAAAAGATATAATAAAAAGAGCAGAAAAGGAAATCAAGAGAAAAGGGTAATTTTATAAAATAAAAAAATAAAAATAAAAAATAAAAAATAAAAACAAAACGTATTGCATTTAATATGTCATATGAGACTTGGTATTGGGTTGGCTTTTATCGGTATGAGGAAGCCGTCAAAAATATCATTTTCCAATTGATAATGATGTTTCCACTCCGTGAATGATTTAATTCTTCGGAACCGGAAAAAAATAGTTGGACAGAGTTAATATATATCCCTAACACCCTTTTATTTTTTGGTTAATTTATTAACTTGCTGTATCCCTAAAAAAAAAAAATTATTGTTTAATACGTGCTCTTCGAAACGAATTATTGGCTCCATTACTGAGGACCATAGTGATATTTTTCAAAATCTTATAGGGAAGATTGAGATTCAGACGACAAAATATTTTAGTGTGTTAAGCACCAATAAATCCTTATATAATAATAATAATAATAAAATCCAGCAATTAAGATATTAACAAAGCCTGCAATAAAGCATCAGCAATAAATCCTCAGAGGCATGAACAGCACAAACGTGCACCCGAGAACCATACGCAGATATGACTTCGACTTTTACATACGTAGAAACACACGCAGATCAGTTGGACAAGTCCAGCTCATATATTAAGAAAACCAAGGACATTATTAAACATACACAACACATACGTAGAAACACATCACAAATATTCTTGTAGGCCAAAGAATTATCTCAAACACCACAGTAAATTTTGATTGGGCACGGACACTTGGATCTCAGTCTCCACCCCTCATCCGAGTTCAAGAAGTGAAGAAATTTGTAGTGATAAAATGGTTTGTACTGTAAAGGGTGTGTTTCATCAACTAGCTCTTCCGGTATTTCAATGAGGATATCCCTGATGAATGAAAATAGACTGAGGGAGTATCTTTCTTTGTTCTTCATGATCACCCGATGAGTAGGAGGTTCTATTCTCCCATTAGTCCATGCCTAAACATGCAAATTATAATAAAGGGGATTTAAAACAGATTGAATTAAGTGCAGTTAAATCAACAAATATAAATAACATAATATTGTTAAATCGTTGATGCATAGATGTATATTACCGGAATTGAAGGCAAATGAAACTCGAAATGGAGAATTCAGAAAGAAGGTTGAATTTATTTGGACTTGAATTGAAAGTTCCATACCTTAGGTTGAGTTAAATTTTCAAACTACCCATGTTGCAACCATGTTTAGAACTTCGTGATGAGTGTTTCCTTTTGGGCTCTCTTTTTTTCTTTCTTTTATTTTTATTTTTTTCCTTTTCCCAAGAAATTCAAGAAAATTGTATATATGTATATGGTGATATGAAAGAAGATAGAGAATATTTAGGGAGTACTCACCATGCATACTTGGCCTGCCATGACTATGAAAGATGAAGGAGAAGGCTCAATTAGAATCCATTGGTCGTCCTTTGTTTTAATCTGCAAACCCTTAACTTGATCTTGATGAAGAATGGTCGTGAAGGACTTGTCCTTGTGAGGGACGATACCAACATTAGTCTCATTCATTTTGCGTTCACTATATTTTATAAGTTTAAGCAGGTAAGAAGTGGATCCAAGGAGAGACTCGTTGTATTTCTGTATACCATAACTCTCTGATACCATTTTCTTCACCGTTTGATCTAATTCTGACACTAGCTTTGAGAAGGAAAGTGCAGTTTCACTGACCAAGAAACAACAAAAATAACAATAGAGTGAAACAAAAAGTTACTCTAATGAAATCTTATGAAGAGAAATATTAAGCAGTGAGTATTTTAGGTTCGAATTACCACATAAAATAGTTATGGAACAATGAACTTTCACTATATAGTTTTCTTTTTCTTTTTTCTTTGATTTTTTTCTTCTAATATTTCAAAGGCCAAAATTCCCTTACTGTAAATTTTTTGTACTAAAAAAAAAAGAAACAAAAAAAAAAAAAAAACGGAAACACAAAATATACCAGAAAAAATCATTTCCCGAGGGCCACATGAGATTAGTGAATTTCTGAGCTCCTTGTAGAGTTGTTGCATTTTCGATGCCCAAGCTTTCGTAAAGAGGAACTGCAGGCAGATGTCCAAGATAGCCATGATTAGGTGTATCAGAAGTGTTCTGTATTTTGGTTTCTAGGGGGAGATCAAATAAGGGTTTTAATGCTTGAAAAATTGAATTGTGAAGCTCCAAAGAAACTCTATCATACACTGCTATGAAACAACCATACTCTTCAAGAGCTCGCACGGTTTCATTTCTTGTTGATATCCAAGAATCTGTACCAGGCTTCACGTTTTCCTCAGAGAAGTGTATAACAGGAAGCTTAGGCTGTGAAACCAGGGAACCCATAACTTTAGGGTTTTATTAAGAAGGGACAATGTGGTCCTCTGTTTCATATTAAATGTTCCTTTTGGAAAATTGTTCCAAAAAAATAAATAAATAAATAATAATAATAATAACTATTATGGGGTGGAGGGAGGGAGTACCACTCATCCATGATTCTTACAGAGGATGCTTCTTATTTGAGCTGCGTCAATTAATCCGACACCTGACCGACGCTGCCTGCTGTCGACGTGTGTTTTAGAGTTTTCCATTCTTTTATATATATATATATATATATATATATATATATATATATAATATTAAAACAATTTCCATTCTTGTAAGGATTTAACTTATGACGAGGACACTCTTATCGGGACTTCAACTTCTTAATTGTTGGACCAGACACTGACATCTTCATTCGTGAATCAACCGCATAGATATCATCGATCACAATCCAATCAATGAGGATATGACCCGTTGGGCCATTATTAGCTTAACCGGGTAAAAACCTCTTCTCCTTTCAAAGACAGGATGAGATTATTCTAGCTTCAATATACATGAAGTATTTATTTAAGTAAACAATAATAATAATAATTATTCTAGCTTCAATATACATGAAGTATTTATTTAAGTAAATAATAATAATAATAATAATAATAATAATAATAATAATAATAATAATAATCGACTTTGATAAACAAGAATATCTTGTTAAACAAGAATAATTTCTGCTTTAAATAACGAAACAAAATACTCCTATCAATAAAATATGAATATCAAAGTTCAAAAGTCACATCTACTTTAATTATTTTTATAATAATATCCTCCAACAAATAATAATAATAATGATAAACAAGAATAATTTATGCTTCATTTAAATAAACATTAGGGAAAAGAAAATAAAGGATATTATTAATTATAAGAGAAAAAAAATAATAATAATATTTATTCATATTTGGATAAATTATGAGAGAGAAAAAAAATGATAGTAAAAAGGAAAGGATAAAAATTAAATTAATATTATAATTTATTTATAAAATATTATAAGATGAGAGTCAAATGTTATAAGAGGGTAATTTTGGAATTATGAAAATACTACTTAGTCAATATCATAACTTATTTATAAAATGTCGAAATTATGAAAATACTACTTAGTTACTATTATTTTGTTACAAATTTTCTCATTTTTGAGAGGATAGCACGTGAAGAAAAGTATCCCACCAAATATGGGATAACTATTCCATCAAATCTCTCCCAATCATTTTTTTTTTTTTCTCTCCACTAAAAAATTATCGAAATAAGATTTTCACTATACTTTTTTTTTCTTTTCTTTCCAAATCACTTCTTTTCTTTCCAAATCACTTCTTTTCTTTTCTTTCCAAATCACTCAATAAGCATAAAATGCCAAATCTAGCAACTAATTAATGTATTATTATATTTTAATTCAGTGTGTGTGTATATATATATATATCTATATGTAATATTTTAGGATTTAATCACTATCTACTTTATATTTATATTAGTAGTAGTTAGCCGTTACATCGAATTAGATTACATATAGATAAATAGGAAAGCTAAACATTGCATTAAACTATTACACTGAAAGGGTCTAATTGTATTATAATTTTTTTTTTTTGTTTTTTTTTTTTTCTGGTTAATAATTGCTTAACTATTTGACGCTAAATCTCTCTTCCATACTTACAATACTCCACCTAAATATCCCTTTTCTTTTTCATTTTATTATATAATTTATTTTCTTATAATAAAATATACATATTTCAAGTCATTTTCATGCTGACAGAGAAGCTTTGAATTACAAAACAAATATCAATATTTATATAGGTGGATGTTATTAGGTATTTATTTGGTCCAATCAGCCCCACAGGCAATGCCACCAGGGGCCAAATGCACATCTCTAATTCCTATGGAATTAAAATGCCAAAGTCTAAGTCCATAATGTTGATTGTTTAGATTAAAGTCATAATGTTACCAAAAAAACCTGTAGTCAGTTAAAATATGAATTAATCAATAAAACCAGATCCCTAAATGCCAAAGCCTTGCCAATTCTTGATGTGCTACCACAGTTTCAAATTGTTTCAAACATAGCTTAGGATGATCCTTTAGTTTTTTCCTTGAAACTAGACGTTAGGAGGCTGATCCACATGTGTTTGGTTTATATTACACTCTCAAAAATCATTGAAACTTTAGGGTATACGCATATACTTCATCCTACTGAGTAACTCGTTTACTTACCCTAATTAATATTTGTTTTTCAGGCAAAGAGACTCTTTTTTTGGATACACAACATTCCTAGATTGGCTTGAGTTTCATTTGGATACATTTTGTATATTTTTTACATGCAAGTGTTGGCATGATATAACTCTTTTGAAGTAGTTAATCACTATAAGAAAAATAATTTTTTAGAATGTCTTTTTTTTCCACGGTTTTAAAATAACAACCGTGGTACCACGGTTGTTATTTTAAAACCGTGGTAGTAATTATACTTTCTACCACGGTTATAATAGAACCGTGATAAAAAGTAAATTTATTTCACTTAAATTTTGTGCGTACTCATTCAAACTTTTATATCGTTTTTTTTTTTATCACGGTTAATGAAAAATCGTGATAATAAATTATTCCAAGGTTCAAGCACCGTGGTAGAAACTAAATTTGAATTAGGGCTGTACGCGCGCGGGTCTTATTCCCGCTACTTTCTTAAAATTTTAGGGCAAATTATTTTAGACCATACACACCATACCACACATGTTAGGGCAAATCATTTCGGCCTCCCAAATCGCCTCCATCTCTATTCTCGTTCTCAACTCTAAACTTGCCCTCTCTATCTCTGCAACTGCAAACTACAAAATCTACAAGAATCAAATCAGCCTCCCAAATTGCCTCCATCTCTATTCTCGTTCTCAACTCTGAACTTGCCCTCTCTCTGTTTCTGCAACTACAAACTACAAAATCTACAAGAATCAGAACCCATATCGGCATATCATTTCAGATTGTTTAAAAAATTAAAACCCATATCCTTCAGTTTCCATCGCCCGCTGTTCCAGTTCGGGTTCGCCGTTCGAAAGCTTCAGCCTCAGGCCCGTTGTCTCTCAACTCTCAAGCCCTTTCTACTCTCTCATAAGGATGACGTTGAGTAACGACTTGAAGATCAGCAATAGACCAAAATTGCAGAACTCTACAGGTAAATGTTTCTGTTATATCTTTCATCTCAATCTGTTGGCGAAATATTTATCTCCGTATGTGGATAAGTAATTGTGATGAAAAATCAGTTGGGGATTTTGGGATTTGAGGATTTTACTAAATTAATTTGATGCAATTTATTGATTTTCTTGAAGCCCTAGGTTTAATTAGAGTTCTATTATGTTTTATGTTTGTGAATTAATTAAAAATGATCTCAAAATTTCATCATCTCTCGTGCATTTTAATGTGAAAAGCCTTGTGAAGCTCAATCATGATCAATGAATTGGCATCTATAACTGTTGCTGTGATTGATGAAGATGTCTGATTTTCGGGGAGCTGTTTAGTTTCTGCCAAAGCATGATTCCGTTGTAGTGACCATAAAGGATTTTGGGTATTCCCACAAATTTAGTGTGCTTTGTTTTGCCATGCTAAATATGTTTTACCTTATCATGGTCGGGGAATTATGATATTTTGACTAGACTTCCACCTTTTGTTGATTAGCATGTAAGATTATTTATTCAATTGTGGCCCACATGATTTGGACATGTGACATATTACTTGGTGGGTAAGTAAATAGATATCAATTAATATTATTTATTTTTGGTCAACTTATAATTACCTTTTTGGTAATTACTTATTGGAGAAGTGTTTTCCTTTCTTATTCCTTACTTTGATGGAAAGTAGAATTATGTTACTATAAGGAAAACTGGTCCTCTCTCTGCCTTTATAAAAGTGCATATACTCCATCAATTATGTACAATTAATGATACAACACGTAAAAGTTTTATGTGTGCAAAAGGCCAAGAAAGAGAAACCAGTTTCCACTTTTGCCTGTTGATCAGAGTTGCAGATTAGTTCGTAATTAAAGGATCTGGACGTTGGATTTAATCTCAACAAGAATTGATATCGTGAATCGAGGTATTTATATCTAACTAGTATTTATTTATGCATTATAGATATGTGAAAATCATGAAGTTTTAAGATATGGGATTCATGTAAATTTGTGATTAATGGCTTAACACGAATTATTATAGTTTACATGTGGTATCAGAGCTAACGGTTTAGGAACTCATTATTTTTCATTAAAGTTGCATAAATAATATATATAAATTTAAAATTAAATGATTGTATAATCTATTCTTTTAGAATCGTATGTTTAGATCAGTCCGTGTGGTTTTTAGGTTTGGGTACCTCAATTTTCGAGCCAAAATTGAATTATGAAAGTTGATTACTGATACATAGTTTACATATGTGTAATAGTACAAACGTATGCATAATGTGTGTAAGACAAACAACTTCAATGCTTTAAGTTACTGATTTTCGTGCATGACTAATAAAGAACATTGAATTAAAATGATAATAATAATAATAATAATAATAGCATTTGTCTTGCTATTGTTTTATAGAAACAGTCAGTTGTAAAAGGATTACAAAGACTCATTATTATTATTATTTAAAAATTAATAAATACATAAAGTTTGTGTATTTATTTATTTTATTAAAGAGGTTTAAATTATTGTTATAAGTATTTGTCCAATGATTTGAAGATTCTGATTTTAATTTAAAATAAATTAAAATTAAAGTTATTGAATATATAAAATATATGTATTGATTTATTTATTTTAGGAATTTGAATTTCTAGAATAATTTGTGAGTTTAGAAATTTAATCTAATAAATTAGACATGCAAATAACTTGTTGTTTCGTATCCAAACATACATACATATTGTAGAATCAATTTTAAATTGATTCAATTATGATCTTTAAGTCCGAAAATAAAATAATATATTTTATTATGTATATAAAATAAAAAGATATTTTCTATGA